TAAAGGCAACACTTAAAGGAAATACTTAGTGCAAATACTAGCCTACTTGTTAGTGTATTGAAATATTTATGAAACAGTTTGTATATGCTTGTATATATTTAGATCATACAAATCAAAATATATTAATAAATGTTTATGTATTAAAAGTAAACTTTTAGCTACAGTAATTGTATATTATAAATAGTATTCAATTTAAAATTGTATTATTAATTGCTGGTAGAACTAATTAGTAAAATATTTCTTATATTATTTCCAATCAAAACTTAATTAGGCTAACATGTCGTAAGGCTAAGGCTGAACAGAAGAAGAAGAAGCTGTGTTTATTATAGTTAAATAAACTGAATACAATCTAATTTAATATATTTTTAAATTGCATTTAAATGCAATTTAAACAATAATGTTGCCTATAATAGACATTTCCTTTGTATAATATTCACTTTTATTTTAATGTACATATAGTATGTATAATAAATACATATATGTTTGCACATCATATTTTCTCTGCTGACTATTTCAATTAGGTTTCTGTTTATTTTGGTTGCAATTTAAGCAATTAATGTCAAGCCAAGCATCTTCGTCTGCTGCGATATATTTTGTGTTTCATACTTCAACAACTTGAGCTAATCAAATTAATTGAGTTTTAAAATTTATTATTAAATTATTAAATATATAAACTTATATAAATATATTATATAAGATATCTACTATACATATAAATAAAAGTATTTCGAAATCTAAAATAAATACACAATATATGAGCTATGTTACAGCAACAACAACAACAACAACAACAACAACAACAACAACAATAGTGGGCATTTTGCGGGGGCGTCACAAAAATAGCTGGCAAAACGAAATATTTATATAGAAAATCGCTTTTGTATTGCATTTTCGTTGCCGACTCGTTATCCACCTGCGGCTCATTATGATCTTCATTATGATCTTCATAGCTGTCCATTTTAATATATTTTTGATGTACAAACATACATACATACATACATATATCTGTATTTTTAGCGCAATTTTCATTATTAACTAAAAACTGTCAGACACACGCAGACACATAAACACACACACACACACCCGCAAAAGCCACACAGCCCATGTGCATTTGAATGTCAGTCTGCCAGAGTGAGCGGGATGGCGAGAGGCAGCAAGGCTGAGCGGAAATTTCGTATAGTGTTGGAAGCTGTCAACATTTTGAAATGCAACAAGTTGCAAGCAACAAAATGGCGGAAACGTGTCGCTGTCGGCGTCGCCGTCGCCGTCGGCTTTGACGTTGCATCAAAGTTTCTTTTGTCGCTCATCGAGGGCCGCCTCTAAATTTATGAAATGATTTATGCATTTTTAAACGCAACTTTAAACTTTTTTATTGCTTTGAGAGTTGCAGCTGGAGCAGGAGCAGGAGCAGGAGCAGCATCCTAATTGTGGCAAACTTTTGCAGAGGCTTCATATCCTGCTTCGGCTGTGATAGCATGTCCTGCCTGGCAGTCAGCCTGTCTCTGTGTGCGTGTGTGTGTGTGTATGTGTGTAGCTGTGTTTGGTGAGCCGCCTGTCCCATTGGCGTTGTCCCCGTCGCTGTTCATTGACTTTGGCAGCAACAAGAGCCAGGACAACGTTGTGCACAGACAGGACACACAGACACATGCACAGGCTCACATACATACTACACGCACTGTGACTTTGTTTTTAATACACTCCAGTGGCCGTTGCATCGATCGAGCTATGGACAAACAAGGCGTCCGCCGTTGCCGTTGCCGTTGTCTGCCAGCCGCAGTTCATTACTCCTCCAGCCATCTACTGTTCCTCTATCTCTCTCTCTCTCTCTCTCTCTGTGCGCCTTTTCTTGTCCATATTGTGCACTGACTTTTCATGCTCATATTTTGCGGCATGTCTTGCCACGCAACGCCGTGTGTTATCCACTTGGCGCACGTCAAGCCCTGACAAAGATTATCAATAACCAAGCCAGAGACAGAGACACGCTGTCCTCGGCTCGACTGCAGCAAAAAGGATATTGGCCAACGTCTCGCTACTTGTTACGCCGCCTTAATCCAATATTCACATCAATATCAATCGCCAATGCAATAGCCCAGCCACATTTTGTTTACGAGTGACACCATTTCTATGGCAGCCTTCGTCATCGATTAAACGTTAAATTGTTATGATCATATTTAGCCAACGCCGAGTTTGCACGGCTCAATCAGCGGGAGCCGTAGAAATCGGCTGGTTGAAAATAGTGGATACTCTAGGGGTATATATGAGGAATACTCCAGAGAGATTGGAGTACGAGATCTTTGAATATCTCTGAATAACTATAAAATATAGATATTGTAATAGGCCAATAGAGTAGAAGTTACTATATCGATACTTAATCGATACTTAACTATAATGTTGTCGATACTTAACGATGGTGTCATCAATAGAAACAGACGAAGATTCATGCTGAAATACAAAGCCAAGGCGAGACTTTAGCGATTTCAATCATCCATGACTTAACAAGTGGCGTTGCCAGATCGCTGGCTTAGCCTATGCCTGGCTTAGCCTTTGTCCAACTCAAGGCCTAACATATTTGCGTACTTTCAATCAGATTCATCTTCAACTGCTTGAGAATTCTATGCTAACCCATTCGCTGTTAGAGTATAGTAGCTGAGGCCGGCGTCTGTTTTATGTTGGAGGACTGGGGCAACGCATAAACATATTCGTGCGCCGGGATGTTTGGCATTTTGGGCTGCCACAAGCCGCATCATCATAATTTGTTGAAGGCGATGTGGCAGGAAGTGGCCCGTTGAAAATATGCTAAGAGCAGAGGTGCGAGTGGTGAAGTTGGGGCCAACGACCGTGGGGCAACCTTGTCATATCCTGTTGACGCTTGCCGCTCAGGTGGTCTCTTTGTCTCTGCTCCGCGGCGGAAGTGTGAAATATTTTTAGATCGCTTTTTTTCTACTCATTTTATTCCTTTATTTTTATTTTTTTTATTCCCACTTTTTTTTTGCCTTCTTCAGATGGAATTTTTGCGCTCGAGCGTATTTTATTGGCATTTTGCAGCAAATTTGTGGCCGTGCGCCATGAAAATGCCATGAAAATTGCTTTCCACACACACACACACACTCACACACAGCGAAATTTTCATATTACATTTTCTCGCAACAATTTGCGTGCAGCTGGAAAATGCTGCTGCTGCGGCTGCTGTTCTTGTTGTTGCTGGGAATTTTCGTAATTGATTTAGCCAAATTGTAAAAATGAATCAAAGCAGCGGCCATTAATTCGTGCCTCACAACATGTCCTGCCAATGCAACGAGGACACCAATTGCCAATTGCCATTTGTCCATTTGTCCATTTGTCCATTGCCCGTTGCCCGTTGCCCAATTGCCAATTGGCACTTTTGACAGCCTTTTCATTTTCATTTTGGGCACGTTGCATAAATTGCTGGCAGCTTGCATAATTATGCGCCGCTTGTCAATGCATTTGCATGCGTTTGCAATTTGACCATTTTTCCCGACCAAGTTTACACCAGAGACTTGCCAAACGTTCGTAGCATTTTAGAAAAATTCAATTACCAATTAGAATTACATTTAATGCAGGCCAAGAGATGAAGGTGTAAAAAGGCCTTACCTGAATTTGCGTTAAGAATCTTGATATCAGGAGAGGAGGACGAAGATGCCCGCATAGGCCATAGATATTAGATATTATTAAATAGATATACAACATAGTTGAGACAATATAGTATATATATGCATATCAAAAATAATACTTTCCCTTGCTCCTCTCGCTAGCTTTATAGAGACTGTAGCAGTTGAATAAGTTGCCTGCCAAAGACACAGAGGCGAAGAAATAATTGCTGTAAATTCCACGCCTGTCAGCGGCAAAACACAATTTAACGGCATTTTTATTACAGCTGCCAAAGGTGCATGTCGCACTTGTACTATGCCTAAAGCGACATATATATGAATATACATAAATATATGTATACATTGTATATATTTGTGCTTGTTCGGCTAATTAAATCAACTAAAAATGTGAAATAAAAAAGTGATGCCAGCTACAATTGATGTTGTTGTGAGTTGTCTGCTACGCACACACACACACACACACACACACACACACACACACACACACAAACACACACAGCACACGTACACCCCTTTGTCAGTTGGGGGCTTTCAGTTGTTGATGCTTGAATATTTGGGTCAATTATGCGATTTGTCGCGCCGCAGACACAACACGAGGTACATCCAAGCCAATCCATCAACTGCCCCCACCCCAATCTGTCACTGGCATTGAATTGCCGGCGTGTGGGCGTGGCCAGGGTGGGCGGTGTTGGTATCGCTGTCTTTGGCAGCCGCACAGCGGTTTGCCTTTTGCGTAATTATTTGTCAAATTCACACGGCGCTCTGGTCACTAACGAGCAACAGGCGAAGCTTCTTCTTGCCAGCCAATCAACACCCAATATAAGCCCCCAAGCCCGACCCCCCATCAATCAGAAGTAAAGCTCATTACGTGACTTATTCATATTGTATATGATTCGCACATCCGTTCGCCTAACGGAAGTTGTTATCAATATCAGAAATACAGTTGGTAATCAACAACAACAAAACAATTAAGATAACAGCCTATGATGATTATTTTTTGGTTCCGCCCAAAAGTATGCAACAAATAGTTGAGCTGTATATATATATATACATATATGTAATATCCATAATCAAAAAACATTTGTTTCTTTTATTTACAAATTTTTTTATATCTCTTTTATTTATTTGTTTTACTTTTGTAACAGTAAATTATGTGTTAATATAAATAAATTGTGGTAATAAAAAAGAAGCACAGTTTGGCAAAAGTTATTTTTTTGCATTTCCTTAACGCTGTCATATCTATAAATATATATGCATGTATATACATATATGTATCTCTGTGTGAAGTCTGTTTACTATACATGTATGTATATATATTTAGTGTACATTAATTGCAAAATTAAATAAATTATTTAATGAAAAAATGCGTACAAAAAGGATTACATATAACAATTGAATTATTAATATTATTTTTATTGTTTATTGCACACATTTGGAAGCACAATAATTATAAATTATGTTTAATAATTAAGTTTAATTTTAATAATGAAATGTATCAATTGTTGCTCGTGTGAAAAGGGGCCAAATTTGTTGTGGTTCGGTTTTTCATTTTTACTGTGTTTATTTATAGGCATGTGCAACAAAAATTTGTTCGTTTTGATAAGCGAGTAGTCTAGAAGCCGTTATCATTGCGCATTGGTTTGCGCTTCAAATCATCTAGATTTATTTACAATTAATTATAGCTTTTTATTTGTATTCGAATTTCCAAGGAAATTCTAAACGCATTTGTCATACAAATTTGTTGCTGAACTTCGTTGTGTTTAGACACATGTGCCTACACACACATACATATGCTGTTTATGTTTGTCAACTATGGCCCCCCACACACTCACGCACAGATACAACTAGAACAACACCAACAAATATGAATACTTTGCTCTCGTGCGTGACAATCAATGGGTCGCCTCCTACTCACACGCACACACACACACGCAGCCATATACGTATTTATATATATGTAACTGTAATTGCTACTGTTACTAAAGCGAATCATTTTTTTGTTTTTCTTTTGCAAGCTTTGTTCGCTCTCTTTTACTCAGCTCGCTGCACTTTCTGTTTTTTTTTCTACTTCTTTTTGTTTCCCCTCCCATTGTCCCTCGACCCATTTAGAGAATTAGGCACTTGCGTTTGCGTGTATTGCGTATGGGTGGGCATAGGACGGAGCGTATGGCCTCATCGAATACCGTTTTCAGACCCTTTTGCGTTAAGGCAGAGCACTCTAAATATTTGACCGCCGCTATTTCCTTGGCCATGGCCAAGCCCTGTGGGTAGGTGATGGGCGTTAGCTTCTTATCTTTTAGTTTCTCAATTGTCTGCTTATCGTCGCGCAGATCGAGCTTCGTGCCGACGAGTATAATTGGCACATTGTTGCAATGGTGGCGCACCTCGGGAAACCATTTGGCGCGTACGTTCTCAAAGGAGGCGGGATTCACCAGCGAGAAGCAAATGAGAAACACATCCGTCTGCGGATAGGACAAAGGTCGCAGCCTATCGTAATCCTCCTGTCCGGCCGTATCCCATAGACCGAGATTAATCGGCTTCGCATCGACCATCACATTCGCTGAGTAGTTATCGAATACAGTCGGTATATATTCGCCGGGGAAGGCGTTCGTTGTATAGCTGATCAGCAGGCAGGTCTTGCCCACGGCGCCGTCGCCAACAACAACACATTTGATTGCCTGCATGACGTCGTCTCAGTTGTTGCTGTTGTTGTCGCTTTAGTTTCTTTATGTATCTTTGCACTCACACAGCAGTGCGAGGGAGGCAGCGAATAATTCAACAAGTTTTGGCGATTATACAACTCGCGTATCTACTTTTTGCTCACGCACGAGCACAGATATACACAAAAACACGTAGACGAACACACACGCGCAGCTGTGTATATGTATTTGCATGTGCAGTTAATCTTTTCGATTAGTTTTTTGCTGTAGTTCTACCCTTTTTTCAGTTCACTTGTTGGCAAAATTAAATTGTCCGCATGGAGAAATTTCGAACGAGCAGCTAAATAAAAACACACCCAAACGCTGTGAAATCGACGCAGTCACTGAGCGAACAAAACGATCCAGCCAGCGTTGAGCGTCAGAGCGTCAGAGAGCATAAAACAGAAAATAAATTGTGTTGCTATCGTTGTTGTTTTTGTTGCTGACTCTGGCTCTGGCCTAACAGCTGCACTCACAGCACTCAAACACACTAGCTGTCTCTGTCGCGCGCCTTTGTGTTTACCTGCTTGGGCAAAGTATGCCGCGCACGCTCCCACACACAAAGCAGCAACAGCAAGACAGACAAACAGTGGCGTCGAGCACAGTGTGTCAAGTGCTCACACGCTGCGTGTGACTCATCAGTTGTTGTTCATGACGTTTCAAAGAGAGCGGAGTACGGAGAGCAGTGAGTGAGCAATGAATGAGCAGAGAGCAATTTAAAGAGAGTGAGAGGCAGCACGTTAGTCGCTCTGCGCGTTCACTTGACCTTGCTTTGGTCTTATTTGATGTGAATTTTCTTCTAAATTTGTGCGTTCGCTTTCCATGAATTTTTCTTGTGTGTATTGTTATTGTTCTTGCTGTTGCTGCTACTATTGCTGTTGCTGTTGTTGTCGATGACTGTTTTAATGGACCGCAAAAATGCATGCGTTTGCACAATATATCGACACAATCGACACCGCAACCAAAAACCTAAATCGAACAAACCCAACAACAAACCAAAACCAAAATCCGCATTCGCATCCGCGATAGCCAAAAATGCAAAACGCAAAGCGCTTGTTCGTGCATGTTTCCGCAGCACTGACCACGCCTGCCCTCGCCAGCCGCCCATCCACCCACTCGGCAAAAATTGTTAAAGCAGCGCATTTTCATTTTCAATTTCATTTTCAATTTGAACTTCAACCAATCGTGAAATATTTTCACAATTTTTCAACTTCATTTCTTTAATTGGATAATTAAATAGGCTCTACAAATTACTTGTTTATAAATGAAATTTACATAAATACTTTAAGTGAATAATGAAATTATTATTAAAAAAAATTAAATTATGTAATTGTTTAAGTACAGAAAAAAAAAAAAAAAAAAAAAAAAAACGAAAAAAAAAAAATATTGTGGTTGATCGATAGCCTGATTTATTTCTTTTATAAATATAAATATGGTTGCATAACAGGAGAATTGAGTCATGAATAAATAAGCATAAATAAAATATAATTTTATATTTTGTTTAACTGAGATATCATTTTCAGAATACTTTTTATGTAATATATGTATGCACTTACATACATACATACATACATAATCACCTTTTGCAACTGTAAAAATTAAAGTCGAGTGATATATATGTATGTATGTACGTATGTATGTGACAATTATTTGATTACTGTCGCAGTTGTCCGCCTCCATAATTGGCAAAGTGATATATGTATGTATATACAAACATATATATTTCACCGTCAATATGAGTGCAACAGCACGCCACGCCCACAATTTGCCACAGCAGTTGGCACCATTAACGAACAGTGGGAGTTATTCATAATTGTTGTTGCGAGCTAAAAGAGCAACAGAGAAAGAGAAATGCAAAACAAACGCCATTTTTATTGCCACACTCACACACACATACATACATAATGAATGAATGCGCAGCTAAAGAACCGCAATGTGAACCGTTGCCTTCACTGTCGCTGCAGAGCCCAAGCGAAAAACAAATATAAGCCGCATGACTGCAGACCAACAATAAATTTAACACTTTAACTGTGATGCATATGTGACTGGGTGTGTGTGTGTGTGAGTGTGTGAACAACTGAATGAAATGAAATGAAATCCGAGCTAACGGTAATGCGAGCATCCGTATTCGCATTCGCTTTCGCATTCACATGTGTTCCCAAACATGTAATCTCCTTAAATGCAGCCTATATTAAATTGTTAAGGCTTACCTATAATTTTTGACTGCACTGTCATGCGTGTGAGTATATGACTTGAAGTTGGCTGCGAGTAAATGCAGCTTAAATGAGTCATTGCCGATGTAATTCTATTATACCATTATAAATTTTATTTTAGCCACTATGTCGTTATTTTTGACTAGATAAATGCCTAACCGAGTAGGTCAGTCCTTAATATGTGACGCCACTGTACTCTTAGGGATCGACTTGCAGATGGCTGCAAATATGATTCAGACGATGAGTTAAGAGCTTTGCATTCAAAAGTGAAGTTGGTTGCGTGAGGTGGAAAGAGCTGAAGAGACTTTAGGCACATTTTACAACACTGAATGACTCTTAGAGTTATCGATAGGCAATTTTCAATGGCAAACTTTTCAGTTCTTTTCTCCCATATTCAAGATGAACTTTTGGAACTTAAATTTATTCAACACTTGTTCAATGCTCAATCCTCAATTCAGTTTGTAAATTAAATTTTGTTTAATGAGTGGCGCAATAAAACGCATTTACTGTCAAGTGATAAAGTGTCATTTCGCTCGGCTTGCTGGCATTTTATTATTTCTGTAACTACATTCGTATGTATATATATGTGGATATATTTTTCATTTGTATGCCATATGTGTGCGCGTATGTGTGCTGACCACGCCTCCCCATTCCGCTGCCGCCCACTGTTGACATGCAGCAATTATTAACTTTTATGCGGCTGCTGCCATGGCGCCGTGTGTTTGTTATTAATTTCTTGTTATTTATGCAAATAGTTGGCACTTAATACATATATTTTTTTCTTCCTCTCTCTCTCTCTCTCGCTCCGTGCAAATTGCTTTGCGCATTACAATAAATTAACAGCATAAGCGAACAGCGACAACAACAACAACAACAAACGAGTACAATCTCTGACACGTTTCCTGCTTATCGACAACGTCGCAGCATTTTTGTTTTTTATTTTTAAACTATGTTGCATACGCTGAGGCGCTGGCCATAAACTAAACTGAGTTATCGCCCGCAGACGTGCTAGACGGCTCTGACTGTTGACCATCACACATACATACATACATACATGCACTTCAGATATTCTATATAGATATGTAGAGAGCTGTTTGGCAGGCAGCATAGTTTAGCCCGCATTTGTTTGGTTTGCTTGGGGTCACGTTTGTCTGTCTGCGCTGCTTATGAATAAAGTTGTTGAAGTCGGCCTGTCAATACACACACACACACGCACACAGACACATAGATACTTCCACATACACATATACATGCCTTCATCATCATTTTGTGGCAGTCTCCCTTCAATTGGGGTTATTTGTCGCTCTATTCTAGCACGAGCCACGCTTTGTTGACTTTTTGGCTTTGAATGGTTCCAGCATCTATTCAATTCTATGTCGTCTATTAGAGAGGGGAGTGGGCGATGGTAAAAAAAGCAGCCCTCAAGCAATTTGAAATGAAAAGTTAAACATACATATGGTAAAAAAAAGAAGAGCAGACAAAAAAAAAAAAAAAAAAAAAAAAGAATGTGATATGTGATATGTGCCGCCCATATTTGTGGGCAGTAAATAGCAACAGGACGAAATGTGTCCTTTGACATTTGATCGCACGATAATCCAGCACAGAGACCAGAGAGACAGAGCTGACTGGTTGGCTATTCAACAGCTACTTTTCCATTTAATGGCCTGTTGCATTATTTAGCACAGCGAACAAAGTCAATAAAAACAAGAAATTGCTTTAAATGATGTACTTAAAGGTACAGTCCCGCCAAGCTGTCGGCAACTTTAAGCCGCAGACAATGCGGCGCATTAGGCATCCTTGCCAAGGATATTGCCAGCCGTCGGTAATTGCGCTGCTTCACGTCGAACTGCATTTGATACGCTCCTCGTTTAGGAGTTCAGCAGTTTGTTTAGATGGGTTTTATTCACCAGCTAATATCTAAAATATAAATAAATATAATTTAATAAAGATTTAGTATTGGAATATTACTTTGATTTCATTATGATTAGAATAAAATTTAATCAAAACCCTCATTATATATTTGTGTATTATTCAAGTGTTAAGTGAATTGCAATTGTTTCTCAGAACATATTTAGAAACAACTTAAAATTAGAATTTTAGAATAGATTTTAAATATTTTTTTTAAATACTCGTATTTGTTTAAATTTTTTTTTTTTAAGATTATTTTTAGAAATATATATACATTTTTTTTATTTTTTATATTATCTGAAAAAAATGTTTGTATTCAGTTTTTATATCTAGTCTAATTTTTCAAAAGCAAATTAAATATGACATATAATTTAAAGAGCATACAACAGTCGCATATGCCCCAAACTCCGTTCACACTCAATTACAAAGCACATGTGCGAGTTGAGCTGTTGAATTGGCGTTTTTCAAGTTTAGCCGCGACGACTTTTTACTTTATGCTCAGCATCTTAATTTACTTTAGCAGGCAGGCAGCTGGAAAAAGAAGTGAACAGCCAGCCTAAACAGTGAAAGGAAGCCAGAGAGAGTCAGAGAGAGAGGCAGAGAGAGAGAGATTGAGATAGCGATAGAGAGGTAGAAGTTGTGGGAGCAAAGAATTACGGCAATTTCCTGAACAATTTCTTGTGGCTGAACTTGCCAGGCTGCCGGGCCAAAAGACGAGATGTTAACACACACTAACACACCTACACACATTCGACATGCACACACACACACAAACATATACATACATTTTTTTTGAGTGCAGCGCTCAGCAGTGCAGTTAATTATAATTAAGACGAGTTAACTAAGCACTTGCCAGGCACTTGCTGAGCACTCTGAAAAGGGGGCGTGGCAGCTGTTGTTGTTGTCGTTTTTTGTTTATGCAATTTAAATTTGTCAGCTGTTGCTGTTGTTGTTGTTGACTTTAATTAAGGCAGCGCGTTCATTAAAAAAGTCAGTAAACGAGAGAGAGAGAGAGAGGGAGGGAGGAAGCGAGTGAGTGAGGGTGTCAGTAAAAAAGTAGGCCAAAAAAGTGTTGCATATTCAACGGTTATTCAATACGGCTTTTGGATTTGGCGTGTGGCGTGTGGCATGTGGCATGTGACGGTGGTGGCTGCAACAATGCAGCAAGCAAGCTGCGAGCTGTTATGCAAAAAGCTAAAAAAAGAAGCAAAAACAAAAACTCAACGCCAGC